TTTTTTTTTTTTTTTTTTTTTTTAGTTTTTTTTTTTTCAACGTTTTTTATTTATTTTTGGGACAGAGAGAGACAGAGCATGAACGGGGGAGGGGCAGAGAGAGAGGGAGACACAGAATCGGAAACAGCCTCCAGGCTCCGAGCCATCAGCCCAGAGCCCGATGCGGGGCTCGAACTCACGGACCGCGAGATCGTGACCTGGCTGAGGTCGGACACTTAACCGACTGCGCCACCCAGGCGCCCCGCATCATGACTTTTCTTAGTTGGTTAGAACAAATGTTAATTTACACAGATGAAAATGTGGTGCAAGAAAAGTGGTGTATCAGTTCACTTCCATGGACAGCATTTGCAGATTTGAATCTGACCGTATATGCACAACTGCAAACCCTTAGGTACCACTCTCCTGCTCTTTTCTATAACGGAATCATGTTCTTTGATTGGCAGGAACATAGCGGTATTTGCATTCTTAAGCCATACCAAAAGGTGCAAAGCAAGCACTACGGACCTGGCATGCTCTCTCTGTCTCCGCATGGATTGTGGCTCACAACAATAGCTAAAGGTGGAATTCTGTGTATCCGAGATGTTCACACTTTGGTAAACAATCTTTTTTTTTTTTTTTTTTTTTTTTTTTTTTTTTTTTTTAAATCTTGGGGATGTTTATCTTGATCTCATATAAGGAACAAAAGCCCTCAGGGAAGGAATTGAACTTCTTTCTTAGGTCAATTAACTCATAACTTATTCACCACTGGTTGTAGTACTGGCTTTAACATTTTACTGGTGTTTTTATATGCTGAGGGTTTGAGTCTCCAGGGGAGGAAACACCAACCAGTAGACTGAGACCTGCACAAAATGAGCATGGGACCCGGACACTGTAGATGAGCTGCTGCCCAGCTCTGTCACCACTTAGTTGTGTGTCCAGGAGAGTCACTGACGTTCACTGAGCTTCAGATGCTCATCTGTAAAATTAGGGAACCCTTCCATGCCCTCATCCTCTGTGATTCTGATGAGAGCCAGTGAGAGAGTATATGCAAAAATGCTTTGGAAATAGTGAATTGCCATGGAAACCTAGGGATTATTACCCCTATCTCCCTGGCCCGGAGTGACTCTGGGCTGGTTGCTGCTGCCCCCCACCCAACTCTTCAAGTGATCCCGAGAGAGCAGAAGGGAGAGTTCTCCCTCATCCCTTGCAGACCAACCTCAACATTACCAATACTGCTGCCATTTTCTGATTTCCATTGGGAAAGTGCAAATAGTTTCTTCTTCCAAAAACGTGCAGGGTCCTTTTCTAGGTTTTGAGACCACGTTGTCCTGGTTGTCAGTCTACTTCGATGAGGTCAGTGATTCTTACCCAGGGTTCCACCCCACACACCTGAAGCCTTGCAGCCACCTACATGTCACAGTCCTGCGGGTCCACAGCTAAACCAGGCCCTGGTGTGCACATCCTGCTCTTCTCGTTCATCTGTGTAAGAAAGCATATTTGGAATGCAACTGGACAAAAGTGATACTATTATTGTACAGGGAAAGTTTTGAATCCTTTAGAGATTATGTTGAAGTGGCCAATTTGCAAACTTTGCTATATTGTCTCTTATTCGAGTGATTTAAAATTTATTTATTAATTTTGAGAGAGAGAGAGAGTACACGTGCAGGGGAGGGGTAGAGAGAGAATCCCAAGCAGCCTCCACACTGTCAGAGCACAGAGCCTGACGCAGGACTCCAATCACAAACCGTGAGATCATGACCTGAGCTGAAATCAAGAGTCACATGCTTAACCAACGGGGCCACCCACATGTCCCTCAGGTGATTTTTAACATGCTATAGTTGATGGTGGCATGACATGGCAAGACATCAAAGTTCTTCTGGGTGATTCTGTGCAAAGCACCTCACACATGAAGTTATTCACGGCAGCACTGTGTGTAAAAGCAACCTAATAACAATCAACAGAGGACTGGATAAATCATGGTGTATAAATGATACATAAGGAAAACGTGAAATACTATGCAGAGTGAGAAAATCTTTACACCACAATGTGGAAGGAACCTCAAGATCTATGGTCACGAAGGAAAAGCAAGGTGCATGATATAATGTATTATGCTCCAGTTTATGTTAAAAATTACAATTGCATAAAAATTTGCTCGTATGTTCTAAAAGACATCTGAAAGGATATTAAAGGTATTAATTACACTGATTGGCTTTGGGAAGTGGTGGTTGGGGAATGGAGACAGAAAGGAGATTTCACAGCATTGTTTTTCAATTTTGAAACCTTTGAATATATTGCCTATTAAACAGTTAAAATTTTCTTTAAAAAAATCATGGTTGAGAACCAGCGTGACACATAAATCCCAGTTTTTATACCACTCAGCATATGTATATTGCCTATTCAAACAGTTGAAATTTTCTTTAAATATATAAAATATAATTATATAAATATATAAAACATATATTCAAACAGTTAAAATTTTCTTTAAAAAAATCATGGTTGAGAACCAGCATGACACATAAATCCCAGTTTTCAGTCAAGGAGCTTAAACTGTTGCCCTCTGCACCAAATCAGTGCTGTGTTTTGTTTGGGTTCTACTTGAACTGGTTTAGCCTCCTCCATGTGGGGCAGGTCACCCTCCACTCTTCACAGTGCCTCTTACCCTCCCTCAACCACTCAGCACACGTAAATGAAACCTACCTGACTCTTGAAGACACCTGAATGCCATTTCTGCTTGCTCAAGTCCCCTCCCCTAACTTTGTAGCTTTCAGCAATTTGCTTCTGTGTGTCTGGTTTTCCTATTGGAAATTGGTGATAACAATCCCTCTCCTTCCATTCCACACAAATGAGAAAAATAAATCAGTATTGGTGAACGGGTTTTGAACCAGGGATTTTCAGTACTATGTATTACTAACAGGCTACTTCCATGCCAAATAAAACGCTGTTAACAAATAGAAACAGATTTACTCATGAGCGAAAGTGCGTGTGACCCCCTTAGAAAAACTACGTGGTGGAATTGCATTTGTAATTTTTGCACTTTGTTCCTAAAACTATTGAGGAAACGTTTGCTCAAAGTCGGAGTCATTCTCACCAGGGGCATGGGATTCAATCAGTGAGAATTTCAATGGATGGAAAAAACATTCTAGTGAATGGGAGAAATGATGGCACCCTTGTTTACCTCAGATGGAGGTATGTACAGTATCTAAAAGCAACTTCATATGGTATAGTGTTGAAAATAAATATTTTGTTATTATTTATGTGTAGCAAGGCCACCATAACAGGAGACAACTGCCATTGGAAAGATTATTATACCCACAGATCCCAAGAGGAGGAGGTTTGCCAACTCTGTGGTGGGGCCACATGGGGAAGCCCCTGGGTGGGTCAGGAGGCAGAGGGAACAAAGGAAACATGGGCAACAAACCAAACCTATTTTGGTTTCCATGGGGAGGAGCAGGCCAGTTTGGCTAGTGTGGATAATTTTAGCAGCTTCTGGAGCATGGTGGCTGGCCCTGGTTTTCTGGTACTTGGCCCAGAGGTGATTAGGGCAGGGAAATAGTAGCCCTGAGTTGGAGGTGTGGGTTCTGGATTGGTTTGTTTGCATTTTAAAGGTGGCTCCAGGGTGAGTGGTTTCCTATCTGTAGCAACTGGCTAGTACTGAAGGGGCAAAGCCCCACATGTCAAAGCATCAAAACACAAAAAATAACAAGACATAGTTAGTACATATGAGATGATCAGTCCTCCCATTCACAACACCCGTTGGAGGAGTACAAGGAATGGGGTTAATCCTCAAGAGTAGATAATTTTAAAAACTATTCATCCCTTAAAAACCTGACATAGATATGTATGTGTGTTTACACACATGTAGATATAGTTCTCTAGTTAGACTTAGTTTAGACAATATTAATTTGGACTTTGCTTAGATTAAAATTAAAGTTCCAAATAAAATACTACTCAAGCATATAGATGATGACCAGGGGATAGAGAACCTGGAAGTGACAGCCTAGACTTTATATGTTGCCTTGGTTGATCTGTCAATGGATATCACTAGTCAATGTGCAATTTATTTCCACAAAAATAATATCTTACGGCGCCCCCTGTGATTAAAACAGTAGCAAAACATGGCCTTTTCCCAGTGACATTGTGAAAATGTTAAATATTTGTAAATGTTAAATACAGGTAAATGGAGATTTTATATCATAACAATTTTGGTAGTCACTTATTTCAAAGACTCGTTTGAACACTGCATCATCAGGCCCAGTCTATGCATGGCATCTGAATAAGATACTAACTTGTAACTCATATATAAGTCCTAATATACCCTTTACACTAAGTGAACAAACAGCATTTCAGGCAACAGCAAACAAGTGCTGGAGACCTCTTGATAGAAGGAAGGGCATTTCCATTCATGGGTAATCACGTGGACCTCTGACTCAAAGTTGAGTTGGAAACCTTGGTCCAGGACTTACTAACTTTGACCTCAGACACATAATAACACCCTCTCTAAATTGTCTGCAACATTGTTACTCAAGGTGGGGTCTGCAGCAACTGTAAGTTTGTTAGAAATGCTTATATTTGGTCCTCCCCCAGACTTTCTGTGTCATACCTCTGAAATGGAATCATCTGTTTTTAACAAACTCTCATCCAGGCGATGCTGATATGCCTAAAGTTTGAGATGCCCTGATATACTGAGTGGAAGTAATGCTTTCTTCAATGACAGGTGGGGGCTATGAGGACTAAATAGGACAATGTAATTATGTACATGAGGCAGCGGAATGCCTAGTACATTCTAAGGCTCCACCGGAGCAGTGGCTCTTCTGTGCAGTGGCCAAGGTGGGTGGGTGCAGAGGGTATGTAGGGTAAGGGTACATGGACAATGTGAGGAGAGGTCACCTCAGAGAGGTCAAGAAGCTTTGTCATGTCCTGGAGCACATGAAGGTGCTCTCCTCTAAGTAGAGCCCTAATAACTACAGGGCACTGTGAAGAATTGGCCGCCATATTTCTTTGTGTAGAAATGATGAGGTATCTGGAAATAATGCTGCTGAATGTAACTTTTTAAAACTGTGATTTTTGTAGCCAGTTTCTTTTCTTTTTTTTTTTTTATTATTATTATAGGCGGTTTGGAGGAAACTTAGCCAGTGAAATTCTTGAATATTGCCAGAAACTTTTAATTTCCCTGAGCAACACCATGGATGAGGAGAATGATTATTTAAGTATATTAAAAAGAGAGTCCTTGAATTTGGGATCAACATCTGAACACACAGTTGAGTTCCAATACAGTGTTTGTCCCTCTTTCCTCCCTCCCTCCCTCCTTCCTTTCCTCTCTCTCTCCCTCTTTCTCCCCTTCCTTCTGTGCCTTCTACCCACCCACTGTCTCTTCCTTTCTAAATCAGATATCAGTTTTCAGTTTGTGGTTTTCTTTCAGCAGATATTTAATAATATTTCCCTTTATCCAGGTACCCCATGATTTTCAGAAAGACCATTAGCTACATCTGAGACAAAATATTCAGCCTTTCTCAAAGCAATATTCTCAAAGCAAATATTACATCTCAGATTTTATTTAAACCATAATACGAGATCTGGGCTTTCCTGTGAAACAAATCTTACCCCTAATTCTAGTGCTTGATCAAACCAGTCTCTCTTTACTTTTATGTTACATACTTTATTCTGGAAGTGTCTAGCCAGAGAACAACATTCTTCCATTCAATCACTTAAATATTTATGGAGTGCCTACAAAGTGCCAGGCTGTGGGGGTTATAAGTATGAACAAGACAGTAACATTTTCTGTATTCATGGAGTTTACATTCTAATTAAGAGTTGGGTGTGAGCAGGGAGAGATAAGTGCTCAAATAAGAAAATATTAGATAGTAACAAGACCTATTTAGTGAATAAAAATGCTAATATTTGGCTGGAGTAACCTCTCTAAGGAGCAGACATGTAAGCTGAGATCTGAATTAAAAGAGGGTACAAAGGTGGGGTCAGGAGGGCAAGAATAGGGCAGAAGGGGAAAGACCTCAGCATGTTCGAGGCCCTAAAAAAAGGTTTGTGCAATTGAAGTGAACAAGGGAGAGAGTGGAAGGAGATGAGATTGTAGAAGTAAAAAAAGACCACATAACGTAGGGCTTTGTAAGCCAGGTGGAATTTGGATTTTATGTTACATGTAATGAGAACCTATTAAAGAGTTGTGAGCAGAGGATTTACAAGATCTTATTTACATTTTTAAAAAATGATTACTTGCCACTATGTGGAGAATGGTTCCTGTACAGGACAAGAATGCAAACAGGGAGATTTATTAGGCTATGGTAAAGGTCCAGGTAACAATGGAGGAGAAGGAATGTTATGGAGAGGAAGTGATAGATTCCAGTTACATTTTGGGGGTAAAGTTGACAGAACTCACTGAGAGATTGGACATAGAGGGGCAGGAAGAGAAAGGACTCTAGGATGACTCCTAGGTTTTTTACTTAAACAACTTTGTAGAATATGGTACCATTCACAGTGATGAGGAAGTTGGAGAGGAGAGCTGCTGTGGGGAGAAAGAAGGTATTCCAAAATCGGTTACCCATGCCGAGCTTGAGTATTCAAGCCTGCTGGGCATTCAAGAGGAGATACTAGGTAGACTGTTGGATAGATGAACTTTGAGTTCTGGGGAGAGGCCAGGATTGAAGATGTTGATTTGAGAGTCAAGGGCAAATGCAAAGAGTTTAAAGCCATAAAAATAGGTAAGGTTACTGTGGAAGGGGGGATGGTGAGCAACAGAAGGAGACCAGGATAGAGCAACTTCTACAGATCCAGGAGAAGAGTTCAGGGATGCAAAGAGGTGGCAGCCAGTGAGGTTCTATCTAGTAGGGCCAGGAGAGTGTAACATGGCAAAATCTTTCTAGAGACTCTATTGCAAAAGGGAGCAGAGAAAGGGGGTGGTACCTAAAGAGGAATGTGGTAGTCCATGGATAATAGCTTTCCTAGGACAAGATATATTAAAGTGTGTTTGGGAAAGATTTGTTGGGAAAGATTTAGTAAAAAGGAGAAATGCATTGTGCAGAAGGGCAATGGAATTTTTTTTAATTTAATGTTTATTTATTTTTGAGAGAGAGAGAGAGAGAAAGAGAGACAGAGTGCAAGTGGGGGAGGAGCAGAGAGAGACACAGAATCTGAAGCAGTCTCCAGGCTCTGAGCTGTCAGCACAGAGTCCAATATAGAGCTTGAACCCACAGGCCATGAGATCATGACCTGAGTCGAAGTCAGATGCTTAACCAACTGAGCCACCCAGGCGCCCCTCAGTGGGATTTTTTTTTAAGTGTAAAGACCTCTTAAGTGTAAAGAAGGAGGAAAAGATTGAGATCCTAAGTACAAATGGCTGGGCAGGGCGTGATAGGCAGAGCATGTGATCTACAATTATAGGAAGGAGGCAAAGAGGGATGTGGTGAATGTGTGACTTGTCTGATCATTTCTGCTTTCTCAGTGAAAAGTGTGGCTATTGTAAGGACAGATTGGTAGGAATTAAATTAATAAAACATTACATCTCGGGCAGGAAAATTTTTTGGTATTCTTTTAAAAAAATGCAATAAGTGCAGAGGGATCCAAAGCAATCTTATGAAGTAGGGTGGGAGAAGAAGAATTTGAATTTTAAGAAATATCTGTCTTCTTCTAAGATAAATGAAGATACGAAGTTAAGCATTGATTCATCACAAGAGGAATTAACCCAAGTTGATAATTCAAAGGAAATTCCCTGGCTACAACAAAAAAGCCAAGAGGTATTTATAAAACATGGAAGAGGTTTGAAATAATGTGCCAAATAGACTAGCTTCCTATGAAAACCCGCAGGAAAGTTAGGAAGTAGATATTAGTAGATACTAGTAGATAGTAGTAGATGCTTAGTAGGTACTACCAGGCAGAGCATTGCACCATACAAGTGTAACTTTCCTGAAAGCAAACACCCTAAACTAGCCCAATCTTTTAGATTAGGTTATTTTGAGCTTTAAGAAGTGTTCTTGAAGCAATGTGGAACAGAATCAAAATGTCTAGGGAAGCCAAACTGAAGAATAGTCAGATACCTCGTGTTGGAGTGAATGTTGAGGGACACTGCAAAGTTGATTTAAAGAAAAAGGGTGGTCCAGAAACAGGAGAAAGGACTTGGTAGCTTCAGATGCGCAGGAAGGTAGCTTGTGCCTGGATTTAGCTTATTAGTCCCATTCAAGTTCCCCATAAAATAGCAGACTGGTTTCCTTTGTCAACTATTCTCTATTTAATTTTTTTACTACTTATTCTTTCCGATGGCCTTATAAATGACATCAGTTGCAAGTTACTTCGATGGCCACTTACGTAGTAGCAGTTGACTTAAGCAAGGCATCGCAGTGGTGTTATTTCATGTACACGTTGTATCACTAGTCTTTATTTTTTGTTTATTTCTAGAGAAGTGCTATCTATGTATCTATGTACCTATGTATGTATGCGTCTACCTATCTGTCATATAACTATCATTTCTCTTGCCTATCTAAGAGATATACTTGTTCCATTTCAGGCCATCAGAAAGGAGGTTAAACTGTTTTCCAAGAAAAGGAAAGAGATAAAAACAGGAATCAAAGCACTTGCTAAAACCGTAAGTGTTGTGTGATTTCATATACTAATACATCGGCCCTCTGTCTAAAATTACTTTCTACTATTTCATCCAACACAGCATGAGGAGCTCTACCCATTTTTTCGTCTGCCAGTAAGCTCAGTTTTCTGAGATGCTTTTAACATGGTGGGATTTTTACCATACAACACTAAATATAAACAGTGGTTTTCTTCCCCGTCTTCCTGAAACACTGGATCTTATTTGTTTTTTTTAATACTTATTTTTATCAAACTTATTTGTTTACACTTTTAAAAATTAAATAATGAGTTATATAACTAAAAATAATGTCTTTAAAGCAACACCTGCCCTAGTTGTCTTCACTAGGATTCCTGTATTCCCGAGGTACATGTTTTCAATTCTTTCAGTTTTTTTGTTTGGATATTTACCTCTCTCTTTCTAAATAGTCTTTTTAATACTGCTATTTCTTGATATTTCTATTTTGACATTAATGGTGGGCTTCCTGGCACGGAAGAGGAGTATTTAGGTTCTTTTACATCCCTTATCAGTACAACATACACATAAATCCATACTCCGTACACACACTATTATAGCTACGTAAAAGTTCTTCAGAGCTGAGCCACATGGCATGTTATGATTACATTTCCATTTTATGATTATATTTTTCCGGGAATTCACAATTGCTTTTGTTTTAGTATAAGCCTTTCTATATACCTATTACCTATTCAGACTCTCTCAAAATGCTAAAAACTCTTCCCAATACAAATACCTGAGGTAATCAAGCTGTCATGCTTTGGTTTATTTGTTTGTTTGTTTGTTTGTTTGTTTGTTTGTTTTTATGACCTGCCTTTCCATCTTCCAGCTCCAATATAAGCACCTTGCTCCCTACACCAGGCAAATGGTCTAGGGAACATGTGTCCTAGGGACTCATCTCGTCCGTTCTCCTGGGAAATCCTCTCACCTGCCTCCTGAGTTGGAGCCCCTCTTTCCAGAGCCCCATTTCTTGATATACATCTTCCAATAGCTTCCTAAGCAGGACTACTGTGTTGTCCCATGCTTGAAGACATCACTTATCAGATAGCTGTGCTTCTGGCATGCCATTTAAATGTTATACTGTATGAATGGTGCCCGCCCCCTAGAGTTGTAAGAGCTTTAGCTCCGTTCTTGGGAAAGGGCATGTGAGAGGGACATCTTTTAAGACTTGGTTTTTCTTAAAATGTCTTTATCCTACTGTCAGTGCTCATTTGATAGCTTGTGTAGGGGTTTATTGATTTCCCCTCAGAATTTTAAAGGCTTGCTCATCATCTTCTAGCTTTCAGTGTTTGCTTTAGAGAGTCTAATACATTTCTGATTCCCAGTTCTTTGTCTCTGCAAACTTACAGGATCCTTTCTTTATCCCGGCTGTTAGGAAATTTCACAATTATGCTTCTTCATAAATTGGATTGATATTCTTGGTTTGAGGATACAAATATACTCTCTGCCCTTTTCCATCCTGTTCTCAGCCGCAAGAAGCTGGCCTTTGTGGACTGCATCAATGTACTACCTTGCCCCTGGCTTCTGGTTAGGTGTAACCAGTGAGTGGCATCGGCAGGAGATCAGAGGGCAGAGCCTTTATTCCTCCAGTGGCCTCTTTGTGGTATCATGAGTTGGCAGTGACAGCTAGGCCTTTCCCAAAGCCTCTGATCTTTCCAAGTTCCAGTAACTACTCCACCCCCCCTTGCCCTTCTCACATAGGAAGTAGGTAGGACATAGGAATGGTGATAGCTTTCTGTGGTTGCCAGTGGGAGATGCTTTATCATGCCTAGCTGCTCTCCTTTACCCTGACAATACTTTTGTAAAAGTCCCTCTCCCCAGTTATCCCAAGTGACTGTGTCATCTATTTTGTACCCAGTTTGTTTGCTCTGTCTTTTCCGTATGTTAGGCATTAGTGAGCACTTTCAATAAAAAAAATTTTTTTAAAAACTTGATTTTCAGTTCTGGGAAATGTCCTCAAATTTTTCTTCGGGAATTTCCTCCCCTTTGTTTTATTTTCCTGGTTACTAACTAGGTTGAGCATCTTTTCCTAACTCTTTAAGACTTTGTATTCCCTCTTCTAGGAATTCCCTGTTTGTATCCTTTGCTTATTTTTCTATTGGGTTGTTGGTCTTTGTCTTTTGGATCGTAGGAGTTCTTTATTTTTATTTTAATTTACGTTTATTTGTGATAATTAGGGCTAGGTAAGCTGTGATAATAACTAAACTCCAAAAATATAGTGGCGCAGAGATTAGAAGTTTATTCCAGGTCATTAGCGGCTCAGTTCCATGCAGTTGTTCAGAGATGCACGCGGCAGAGATTCAGCTGTCTTCAATATGAGGCATCCAAGGTCGCCCTGCTGGATCTCACCACAGTCAGCTGGGAGGGGAAAGAGCATGGAGAGGGGCAAGGGGAAAATCGAGAGGTGGCTCTTAGTACCAGGTTGAACCACATGAGATCACAGTTTTACACAGGTCAACCTAATATGCTATGTATATTTTTTGTCTTGTGTCTTAACTTTTATTTTATTTTATTTTATTTTTTAATTTAAAAAAAAATTTTTTTTTCAACGTTTATTTATTTTTGGGACAGAGAGAGACAGAGCATGAACGGGCAAGGGGCAGAGAGAGAGGGAGACACAGAATCGGAAACAGGCTCCAGGCTCTGAGCCATCAGCCCAGAGCCCGACGCGGGGGTTGAACTCACGGACCACGAGATCGTGACCTGGCTGAAGTCGGACGCTTAACCGACTGTGCCACCCAGGCGCCCCGTGTCTTAACTTTTATAATGTGCCTTTTGAAATGCAGAATTTAAAAATTATGATCCAAATTTATTGATTTTTTTTAGAGCTTTTGTTTAGTGTGTCTGATCTTAAAAGGTCTTCCAAAGTCCCACGTACTTTTTTGTAATACTCCTTTATTTAATCTGTAATTTACTTCATGAATGGTATGAGGTATGGATCTAAATTTATTTTTTCAATTAAACAGCCCATTTTGCCAGTGTTTTTTATTGAATATACAACCTTTTCTCCACTGATTTGTGGAGCCTCCTCTGTCAATCCCTGGGTTCCCGCATATACAGTGTTGTTTCTGGACTTTATTCTGAAATTGAGTATTGATAATTTTCAAAGCCAATTCCAAACTATTTTGATAGCTAGCTTTATAAAATAAAAATATTTTTATACTTTGAAAGTAATTCTTCCTTTATTCTTTTTTTTAATGTTTATTTAGTTTGAGAGAGAGCACACACACGTGTGAGTGGTGGAGGGGCAGAGAGAATCCTTTTTAATTTTTTAAAATGTTTATTTTATTTTATTGAGGTGGGGAGAGAGTGGCAGAGAGAGAGGGAGAGAGAATCCTAAGCAGGCTCCATGCTGTCAATGTGGAGCCTAACATGGGGCTTGATCCCGCGACAAGAGATCATGATCTGAGCCCAAATCAAGAGTCGGATGCTTAACCAACTGAGTCAACCAGGCACCCCTTT